TAAATATTTTTACAATTCATCGATTAATGAAACACAAAACTGCGATAAAGTTAAATCGTTAATTGGGCAAAAACAATCGATAAATTTCAGCAAATGATTAATCGCTGCCATTTCTTATGGTGATTTTAAAGGCGGCAAAGAAGAAGAATTCTATACCATAAGATTTATCCGCACGTGTATATTTAATTTGAAGTTTTTATTCTATCAGATTAATAAATCTTTGTAGTAATGCCTCCAGTACGCAAAGCCAAGCCAGAAAACCGTCAAATTTCTAAGGAATCTCTGGAGACTACTGCAGTCGTTTCAGGGCAGGTAAGTTGAAAATGTGCTGGACTCTAGAAAAGTGATGTTGACATGTGCATTGATATTTTTTAGTGTTTGGCTGAAAACTGTGTTATTGTAAATTTGTGTAAGCCAAAAAATCTAAAGCTTTATAAAATGTCTATACATATTGAGTGTCTTCCATAAATAAATATAAAAAATCAAATGTTCCATACATAAAATAACTGTTCCATATACTTACAGTTAGACAAGAAAATCAAGAAACAGCAACAAAGGAATGATGATAAGCGCGGGATTGTCTTTGTTAAGCATCTTCCTCATGGATTCTTCGAAGAACAATTGAAGAACTATTTTGAACAGTTCGGTGCAGTTTCACGCGTACGGCTTGGACGTTCACGTCGTACTGGTGGCAGCAAAGGCTATGCCTTTGTGGAATTTGAGTATCCGGAAGTAGCAGAGGTGGCTGCTGAGACTATGGATAATTACCTTATGTTTAAGAAAGTGGTTAAAGCCTCTTATATTCCTCCAGAAAAACAGTTATTCAACTACTTTAAAACGTCTGTGCGCAAAGTAACAAATAAGGTAATGCAAACAAAATAACGCTTACTCCCATTATTAACTCGGGTTTCTTGTAAAATTATAGGCTGGCAAAGATTTATATGTATCTCATAAAACAGCTGCAATACAACGCAAAGTAAAGCAAATGAATAATTGGTCCAACAAGAGTTATCAAAATCGCGCGTTAAAAAAATTGGAAAAGGTGAAAAAACTAAACCGAAAGTATGCGCATTTGGGCATTGATTTTTCAAAGATACTTGTTGAACCGAGTAAATTAGATCAAGATGATAAGACAGAAGTTGCAGAAGCTAATGAAGAAGGTCCCAAAACAAAAACGCGTGAAAACAACTTAAAAAGAGGTGTTGCTGAGGAAAATAAAAAATCAAAAAAGTCAAAGAAAGATATAGAACTGCAGGATCTACTTGGCAATACAATAAATGATGATGATTCGGGGGACGAAGACTACATTGCTCCACCCCATATTGATGATGAAAGTAAGGATGAAGATGAGAACAGTGAAGAAGCTGACAATGATATTGCCACATCAAGTTCCGATGCGGAAACGTACGGTTTTAGTGAGGATTCTGATGATGAAGAAGACGCTGGGCTGACACAAATACGAAAAAAATCTAAAAAGGCTAGTATTTCTCTTGGTCAGTCAGTAAAAGCACCAAAAGTGGATCGCTTCGAACAGTTAATTAAAAGAAAGCCACACACTGGAGGTGTGAAGAAAACCAAGAAGGCAATTAAGCCAACTATTGTAAAGAAATCTTCTAAAAGTAATTTTCAAATGACAGCGGCGAAGGAAATGCTAAAAACAATGCCGGCGAAAAAATCTAAATCATTGGGTTTAAAAGCCAAGTCGGCAAAAATACAAAAGAATAGAAAATAGTGATGTTCTTACATGTACATACGTGTTACGTTTTTCATATAAATTTATACATATAATATTAAAAATCTAATATATAATTTGTTTTAAACTTTAAATCAATACTTGATATTTGTGTGAGGGGACTCTGCCGTGAATTGCGCCTCTTGAGACTCCAGTTTTATGCGCTTCCACTTCATGCGCCTGTTTTGAAACCACACCTTGACCTAAAAAAGACAATTTTTTACTCTACAAACTTCTATTAAATTTTGGAAGTGTTTCTATTTACCTGGCGCTCTGTCAAGTCTAAAGCAACAGCTATTTCATATCTCCTGAGGCGAGTTAAATAGTTGGAGTGCACAAATTCGGCTTCCAACTCTCTTATTTGCTCTTTGGTAAACGCTGTTCTCTCTTTTCGGTTTCCTACATGAGGAGCATTAAAACTTGTAGCTATCTCATTCAATTTAGCATCTAAAAGAAAATAAATCGGAGCTTAATTAGATAAAATAAAAATGTGATACCTTATAATATATGATTAAATGTTTAGGTTAAATTTAAATGTTTTTCGCAGTGTAAAAACATTGAAAGTCAAAGTATAAAATTACTTAAAAAAAAAAAAAATAATTTTTAAGTTATTTGTAACTGCGAGCAACTACGAGTATTATTTAAATGAATGTGACTGGAGGAACCAAATATAGTAAAATTGTAAATCACAAACTTGTAGGTCATTCAATTTCCTACAAAAAGGTTCTAGAACACCAAATCGCTAGTATCTATTATTCTTGAGACATTGGGCTTTGAAGTTAAGGTAGTGTGGAATTTTCATTTATTATTGAGCTAAATTGTGATAATTATTGATCAGCTTCTCAAGAAACCTCGATATTAGCGATTTAGTTAGTGTTCTACAAGTGTGTGATTTTTAATTTTTCTGTACCTCTTGTTATTTACGAGATAGGGCAAAAAACGGGGATTTCATGAAAATATTGGGTTTAGTGACCCGTACTAAATCGCTGTTGGGAACTTGAGTTACGCCGCAATGCACACCTTTGTAGAACGTAGGTGGTAATTCCGAGGTATTCTCACACTAACTAGGTTTAGATCCAATCATTGGATCATGAAGAAATTAACGACATGCTTAAATTTGTATATGAGAATTGGAGTCGGTTTTGTTTTTTGCTTGAAAATTACTTGTTTTACCAAAATTCAAAGAACTAAAATAACCATTAAATAGATCTTTGTAAAATAGATTTTTTTCGACGAAGTATAATGGTCTAATTTGGATTCTTATTTTTCCTGTAAAATTTGATCGTATATTAGATATATTTTTTCCAGGGCTGTGCGATTAATTGATTACCCAAAATTTTAATTAATCATAAAGTAAATAACTCAATTATTCGATTAATTGGAAATTATGATTACTCAAAAGTTCAGTTACTCGAGTAATCAAGATTTTTGATTAACCAAAAAAAAAATATTTGAGTAATTTGCTTTATGATTAATCAACATTTCGAGTAAAGTGAGTAATCAACATTTCAACTCTTTACATATGTATAAAGTAATTAAAGTTCCTTGATACTTTGAAAACAACGTTTCTGTTTTCAAAAATTAAAACGAAAATTTTTTTTCATATACAGAATGTAAAAAAGAAAATAAGCATTTTCCAAAGCAAACTGTTTTAACGAGCAAAATTATTTTTTTTGAGTAATCATATTTCAAGTACCTCGATTAATCATCGTTTTGAGTAATCAAAATCTTGATTACTCGAGTAATTGATTAACCGAATAATTGATTAACCAACTTGCTCGAATAATCGCACAGCCCTAATTTTTACGATCATTTTTAACCGTTTTAACTGAGATTTACCGGTTATAGTGTAACCGAAAAAAATGTAATAAAAAATTATGGGTCCGCCATTGCCTTTTTACGGGTTTTCGGGAGCTATAAAAAATAGTTGATGGGCCGTTCCATTGTAACTAGTGGGACATTTTACTCCAGAATGTGATCAATTGTGAATTTTAAGTACGTCGTCGGAACTTACACAACAGCAAAAGATGTTTTTTAACATCTACATTTTTATAAATTAAAGCTGGGAGTTCTATCCGGATATTCGATTGTCTAATTAAAACTTCGAATACCAGGATATTATTCGGATATCCGGATAACAAAATAAATGGATATTAACCGAATACCCGCATAGCAAAATTAACAGATATTAACTGGATATCCAGAAAACAAACGAGAACGGATAATAAGGCATTTATCCGGATTTTATCCGTACACACGAATATCCAAATATGCGGATAGTCACAGCCCGAGTAGAAATAACAATAAAGAAGTTGCCTGTAGGCTACTTATTATGAAAGTCATTCTTCGAAAAATTTGTGGTGGAAATCTTCACTTTTTCAGTTCGCGGCCGTGGTTTAAATTAAGTTTAAACGCCCGATCTGGCTGGTTTAAGGCCGCTTGTTCAATGTCTGATTAGCACTAATCGGAGGACTCGGACTTAATCCGGATCAACCGCAGTTAATTCCCGAGTTGATCCGGATCAACGCTGCCGTCTGTTTATGCTTTTATATGCATGATGTTGAAAACGTCGATAATGATGTTTCACCGGCAAGTAGTGATAACCAGACATTGAACAACTGGCCCTTAAACTAAGATCAGCCAGTCAAATGTTACCCCGCTGTTCAATTTAGGGCCTGTTGCTCAAAGCCTGGTTGACACTTGTCATCGGTTAACATCGTTATCAACGTTTTCGACTCCATGCATATGACACGGTGCCAGTAACGTCGTAACGATATTTAACCGGGGATTAGTGTCAACCAGGGTTTGAGCAACCGGCCCTTAAACTCAGTTTACTTAATCTAAGTTTAAACTGGCACTAAATAATTGGTCCTTAGTCGACTGAATACAGCAAATGTATACCATCTCACTGCATACTGAGGTCAAACCACTAAAGGCCGGCTGTTCAATGTCTGGTTATCACTACCTCCCAGTTAAACATCATTATCGACGTTTTCGACATCATGTTATATGTTTCTTAATGCCTGGTTAACACTAACTACAGGTTAAACATTTATATTGACGCTATCGACTCCCTGTTGGAGCCGATCAAGTCGATAACGATGTTTAACCTGCAGTTAGTGTTGACCAGATATTGAGAAAGTGGCCCTAAGGGCCGGTTGTTCAATGTCTGGTTAACACAAATCGGAGGTAGAAGCTCTGAGTTAAATACAAAGATTAGTGTTAACCAGACATTGAGTAACCGGCCCTTAATTTACTATTTTTGTTGATTCGAGATTTTTACAAATGTATCCACACGTTTGTTAGTTTTATACAGAAAATAGTTTTTGCACTGAGATTCACTTTCCCATGGAACCTCCCACAGCTTAAAATTATTGTAACCAATAGAGGTATGCTGAAAAAAAAAACTAAACGGAAGTTCACAAAAGTTGATATAAAACTATTCCTCGATTTAAATACATATCGATGGCTGAGTGGAAGATCGACCTATCTCGGCAGCCAGTTCGAAAACGCTTTATCTCAAAAAACTTTTCAAGAACGCCCTACTTCAGAATTTAATTGAAAAACATCCTATCTCAGCTGTCGATTCAAAAACGCCCTATATCATCGACAGCCTAACCCCGTCAGTGTGAAACTTTAACCCAAACTAAACCTTTTATCGTCATGGGCCGTTTTCTCCTGATACCACAGTCAAGGAATTCGTGGGGATTGCAACACTGTCTGACTTCTAAAGTTATAGATCTAGTGAAGCACAACAAATATGCATACTTACAATTTTGAATACCCTCTCAAATCTGGACTTAGGGTCTAAAAACGCGTTTTTCATAGGTTGTTTATCTGATGAAAAATGTTTACAGTGCGTACACGATAACCGCAACCCTCAATACGTGCAATACCTTGATTAATGCAAGTCCCTAAAGCAAAACATTGTAACAATTATAAGTCCAACTTCAAAACAATTTAACAATTTAGGTATTGGAACCTACAACATTCTTTTTTTATGCATGCCACACACACAAAATTTGAATTTTTTGCCTTCTTTGACTTACCGGTATTCTGGAAAAACTAAAAAGTGATGTTTCAGTTAAAGGTATATGTGACCCGCTCAAAAAAAAACAAATACACTGTTATCAGAATTAGTCGAAATGAAAGCAAAAGTAATAACAAAAAAAATATAGAAGCCGAACTTTGGAAACGGCAAACTTTAAAACAGTGTGAGTACTAAAAAAGGATTTACACAAATGGTTTTGCTTTAAGAGCAAGTACAATTTGTGAAAGCTAAAGTCCGGATGGTTCCGGGCGCAGAAGGCCAGGAAGGTAGGAAAAACTTTTAATTGCCATTCACCTAGGAGTGACCACAAGTGATTATTGTGCGTACGGTTCAAATCGCAGCTCCTTACGTCCGGATATTTATATCCATGAATCCTCTGGGTAGTTACCAAACAGCCGTTTGGAAGCGAGCTAAAGTGAGAAGGCGTAAAACTTCCCGTGTGCTGGGTTTGGGTCCCGCCACGTTAAAACCCCGCCCAATGAAAAACAACAAGAAGCCTCGGATGAGATCCCCCCTTTTTTTGATGACGACTACGTCAAACGTATAGAAGACTATGACTTAAGGGTATGCACCTGGAATATCCGGACCCTTAATGGGGAAAAAGCCGCTGCCCGGCTGGTTGATGTCTTCGGGAAGACAAAGGCTGACATCACCGCCATCCAAGAAATGCGATGGACGGGTCAGGGAAAAGTAAGCGTGAAGCCTTGCGACGTCTACTACAGTTGCCACGTAAAGGTAGGAGAGAGACTCCGTCGCCGAGTACTGGCGTTCACCCCGGTGGACGAACGTCTAGCCACAATCCGCATCAAAGCTAGATTCTTCAACATCTCGCTCATCTACGCCCATGCGCCGACAGAAGAGAAGGATAAGGCATCCAAGGATCTCTTCTATGAGCGCTTGGAGCACACGTATGAGCGCTGCCCCCGCCACGATATCAAAATCGTGCTTGGCGACTTCAATGCAAGGGTGGGCAAGGAAGGGATCTTTGGAACCACCGTCGGAAAATTCAGCCTCCACGACGAAACATCCGACAACGGACTGAGGCTGATCGACTTCGGTGGGGTCTGAAACATGGTAATATGTAGTACTAGGTTCCAGCATAAGAAGATACACCAAGATACATGGCTGTCTCCAGATCGAAAACGAGAAACCAAATCGACCATGTTGTGAAAAAAAATTGCACCCAACAATGCAAGGAAAGCTTAATGTTGAAATGCTGCAATCACAACAGATAGCTAATTTATTCGCCACTCTTCTCTCACACCTGCTCTCTAAGAGCACTCTTCAACAAACCGACATACGCGAGCAGTAGAACCACATTTCCCGCTCATTAAGTACCGCCGCCGAAAAAGTACTCGGATTTCAGCGAGCCCGAAAGAACAACTGGTGCGATGCCAAGTGTCAAGAAGCTACAGAGAAAAAATAACTGAAGAGGGAAGCGAGACGTATTTGTTCGTTTACGCAGGGCTTCAGTCTTTTACACGACACACTCGATGAAATAGTTTTTCGCCTTTCTTGTCGATTCCAGTCGTCGGGCATGCACCTTCTTGTCATCGTACTTGAATAGCTCGGCTAACAAGCCGTCAGCTCAGCATAATCGCTATTCGTACCTCGTCATAGTCAGGCGCTGGGACATCGAAAATGGTGCGAGTCGACGTTTGGCCCTCGGAGTGTAGGTATGTACATATGTACAAAGACATTCTGCCTTATCCTGAGTTTCGCCTGAAAAAAAAAATCCAACCGAAAATTTGTCACCATGGAAACCAAGTGAACCGGTTCGGGGAAAGTGAAACTCATGAAAAGGCTGATTAGTTTTTGACTGGCCAACAGTCACACACAATATGTTCCGATGTTTCGTACTACGCAAAGCAAAGTTGGAATTATCTTTATGGCGCATATGACAAACGAGAAACATAAAGATTCCGTCATTTATGAGATTCATATCCTTTCTAGCCTGGCTTGCATATAGCATAGTTTAGTTCAATTAAGCGGGGAATCAATTAAGGGGGCAAGGTTCAAGGGACAATACTGTATTGCCTCTCTACATCGTGAATGTAAGCAAAATAAAATAAAAAAGCTGATAAATTTCAAATTTTATTTTAATTCACTTCACTATTTTTTTAACTTATTTTCATTCTTTTTAACCGACTTCCAAAAAAGGAGGAGGTTATCAGTTCGTCGGAATATTTTTTTTTTTTTTTATGTATGTTACCGCATAACTTTGGACCACGTCAACCGATTCTTCTTGCATCGGAAAGGTAGTGTCTCAGAGGTGGTCCCATACTAATCTGGTTGAGATCCGATCAGTGGATCATGAGATATATATATATATATATATTTTTTTTTATATATGGGAGTTGAAGTCGGTTTTTTTTTGCTAAAAATTACTTGTTAATTTATCTTATTATAACCCACAGTTGGGTCCAACTTTAGACCTTTTCGCATACCTTCAAATCGGGTTTTATAAACTGTATTATTGCCACATTTATGAAATGTTGACTTTAGAAGATCGTCGTGTTTAATATCAAGAGAAGAGTTATTTTTCTTATCATTCCACTCATCACCAGTATCATCCGGACTCAGTTTTTTTATTTCGTTACGATTTGAATGAAAATTGTGCAAATTGCTTATAGACGATTGATCTACTAAGGCGGTCTTGTTATGCCATAATGCCGAAACTTTCGGCTCAGCCAAGTTGTTGGTTATACGCGAATATTCGTAACTTTCACTAAAACAGTCAAAACAATTACGGATTTTGTACGAATCTTGAATACCGTTATTATTGTCGTAGTAATGCGGTTGATTAGTTTTACTATTAAAGTTGTAAGCACTACAATCATAAAATGCTTCCATGTCGGAAATAAAATCGATATGGGTAAACGATCGCGTCGCTAATGAGTGATTAATATTCATGACAAAATCTATGTTTTCCGACGATCTAAGTTTAACTAAAGGCTTCTTGGAATCAATGAGGAGTTCGAAGTGAATTTGATCTTAAAAAAAACTTTTCGCACATACAAATTCTGCCCACTCCCCATTGGTTGATCGACGATATTTAACTCGACGTTGATTGGTTACATAGTTGTATGTACATATTCATAAAAAATTTTCTATACATTCATATGTATGTACATACACTTATATAGATATGTACATCATTCAGTCGCATAATAAAAAAGTATGACAGTCCATATGGTTTAACACTTATGAGCCTAATTATGTGTGGTCGCGATGTGTTTACGTATCTACTCATATCGTCGTTTAAACTACAAAACCGCGTATCGTGGCTCTGCAAAACCTCGTAACTGACATTTGTGAAAAAATAAAAATAATAGTATTTGCTCCAGTGGCGGATCCAGCGGGGGTTTTTGGGGGTTAAACTACGTGTCAGTCAGTGGCGTACCCAAGGGGGGTGTTTCAATACATATACGCTATATTATACATACATATGCGCCATATTAAAACACCCCCCGTGGGTCCGCCACTGACTGACACGTAGTTTAACCCCCAAAATCCCCCAGCTGGATCCGCCACTGATTTGCTCACCGGAGGCTCCTGACTTCAAGCTCTTATCCATTCGATACTTAGACATAAGAAGAAGAAATAGCTAGGGATAAAGGAGAAAACCGTTTTGATATAAGACAAGTTTTACTCTCTCCTATAAAATTTTGGCATCGTCATATACGAGGTTTTGCATTTTCTTGATACGCGGTTTTGTACTTTAAACAACGATATATATTTACATACGGACATGTGTATTTGTGTATGGATGTGCATACTTATTATGTCAATTCCGGTCATAATTTATGAACTGTTGTGACAACACTTTAGCACTTTGTTTTGCTTAGCCATTATGAGGAGATGAAAAGGAAGTTGTGACAAAAAATTCAAGTGCATTGTGGCAGTGGGAGATGCGCTGCAATGCAATGCAATTGCCTAATAAGAATATGATTGTACATAGATAGGTACAAATAGATGATGTTGCACATGTACATACAATACATAAATACATACTAGGGCTGGGACTCACGGTACGACTAACCGGTTAATATTCGTTCATTTTACTATCCCGATATTCTAAATAGTATTTGAACGGATGCATCGAGCTCGGTATTCGGTAACTCGGTGTTCGGTAATTTTTTCAAATGTATTTGGTTTGTGTAAAATAGTGTTAAACAAACAAAATAGTGTTACACAAACCAAATATATGGGAATGAGAAACATGAGTATGCAGTCTTATAGCTCATTCAAATTTAATCTAATATGATAAGTGCAAATTTGAATTACATATCGGTTCCTAATGGTGGAAAGGTGGCAAGTCCTTTTTTCAAAATTTAGTTTTTGATGCAGAATGGCAGGTAATTCGTGCCTCCTGAACAATTTCAAAATATAGACTTGGCACCTTTTCACCCTTAGATGACGGTGTCTTAAAATCCGCACCGATTTTAGATTTTTTTGTTGGCGGTTATATGCATTTTCTTCCATATAAAAACATTTAAAGCCTTTTTATAACAGTTGGCCTTTCACTTTGAACTGGTCGTGGTTTCCGGTTCGATTTTAGCATTTCAAAATAAAAATGGTTCAGTTCGAAGCCCGAAAAAGCGACGGTTCGGTTCAAAACCGGTTTTTTTGTATCCTGCTAAATACAATATTAACTGCCGGTTTCACCAGCAATTCAAGCGGAAAATGATGTTTTCCCCTGTTGTCAGTTTACATATTAAACTCAAATAAAAATAATAATTTTTCACTTAAATTGTTTTCGAACAATAATTGCTTCATTGTTAATTTTTGGATTCGAATATTCGGATATCTATACCCTGTCCCGATATCAAAACACTATTTGGATATCCGACTATTCATATAGCACTCCCAGCCCTAATATGCACATATGTATGTATGTATATACATTCATATGTACCACGTGGCATAAATATATTTGTATATGGCTGTGTTCAATCTGAGCTAGTTATTCCGCTTACAAAGCAATTCATTTATCAACATTTGTAATCTTTTTATTGCTTTCATAATTCTATTTTGCCTAAGCATAGATGATGGCTTTGATGACTATAATCGTTTACTCCTACGTACATATGTACATACATACTGTGTATGTGTTTGGAGAAATTTAATGAGAGTTTTCATATTTAAGAATATCGTTTCCGGAATATGTTTACTTTGGTGGAAAAGATGGAGATGTACAAAAACTTGACATTTTATCCAAATTACTTGGGCCCTTTATAGGTCGGTTTAAAAACAACACGCCGACGGGGACCACATTTACCAAACAGTTCTGCTAGGCACAAATTCGTCTGTAGGTATTGGGGATACTACGAATATTTGCATTCGTATTCGGTCAAAGTTTGCCATGTTTTTTTTATGCGGAAAACTATTTTTCGTAGAAATGTTATTGAATCCTTGAAAGTCTATCAGCATTATCATGAGTTTCATCTTCCCCGAACTGGTTCACTTTTCGTTTCCGTATTAATTTTTTTGTGTAAATTTTTTGGCTTTGTATTAGGGCAATACTCATGATAAGGCTGAATATTTTTCAATCGGTAAACTCTGTTTCTCTTCAGTAGTATTTGAAGAATAATACCCAATTATGTATTAAACAATTTTTTAATATTAACGACTTTTTACCAGTCCCCCATTGACTTTTTTGGTGTTTTGGATATCCATACAAAATAGTTTATGTATATAAAAAATATTTAAATAAATAACAACGTTTTATTCCTTGAAGTCTCCTAAAGAAAAACAAAGTTTGTCGATTGGAAAGTACAGATGTATTAGGATTCCATACCAATTATATGAAAAATTTGTTTTTCTCCCATATAAAATCCATGGGACACTTTAAGGCTTTTACATGAAATGGAAAATACATTTAAGCAATAGCATTTAACAAGGGGGGTTTGCATTTTTTATTTTATAGCTTATTTGATTTTATGTTAGTTATCAAGAACTATTTTTCAGATGTATCTAGGTATAGATTGTTTGTACCGTTATGACCAAAGAAATGATGGAGCTCCAGCGATTAGTGGTGAATCCCACGAAAACCAAGCGTTCTTAAAATTGGATTTTTCATGCCACTTATGTATGTGCACTGTACTGCACATTGCTTTAACTCAGTTGCAGGGCTGATGAACTGGCTAGGCAGGGCATCTCCGAGGCCACCACCTCGCACAAGGAGGGCATAGGAGTTCCGTTGGTAACCTGCGGCCTGCTCCTGGACAGATGGGTTTACAGTCGGCTCTGCGAGTGCTGGGAAAAAACCCCGACATGCAAAGTAATAAGGTTTTTCTGGCCGTTTGTGGACAGCGGGTGGTCAAGGGAGCTACTGCAGCTGGCTAGGCGCCAGCTCTTGATTCTTACATATGTTTTGATCGGACATTTTCCTATGGGAATCCACGCTAGATTAAGGTTTCAGCACCTCGGTGCGAATTTCATCAACGCTCCCGAGGGGCTCCCCGGAGTGGACATCAGCTGTCTGCGGAAATTTGTTGTGAGCAGTTACCGTTCTAAATTTGTGTAATGTGGTATCACAATGGACAATTAAATGTCTAAGTGGGTCACCTTCGTGGGTCTGTCACCATAACCTAATCTAACCTATAGTACCCAGTGAGAGTTTTGAGGTCTTCTCTGCCTAAGTTGAGTAGTTTCATTGAAGCTTCTTTTGAAGGCCAGATAAATCCTTTGGCTTGTCTCCCTTTGTCTAGGCAGTAATTTATGATATCTTTTATGTGTGCTTTGGGGAGCCCACAAAAGGGTTATGGACCATTAAATACTGCGGTAGTCCCTTATTTTGCTACCCGGCAGATAATTTCAGGAGTTAAAAACGAAAGGCCTTCCTGAGGGTTAGGAGGCGTTCCACTCTACATTCCTTTCTCCTTTCTTCTTTGTATGGATTGGCACAACTTGAAGGGCTTCTTCTTTCGCTATCCATAGAACGCCTTCCAGAAGGGCTTTTATAGGACGTACTTTAGAAGGCCTTTTGGAGGAGTCCTTTTAAAGGTGCTTCTTCAATTTATAAAAATCATACATCTTTGAAGTATTTTCTTAAGGTTTATATCAAATTTGTGTTATTGTAACTTAAAATGTTTATTGAAATTCATTTGTAATGCTAAATAATATGCATTCGCGTAAATTGTAAACGAATAAGCCCTTATAGAAGACATGCAAGGAAGCACTTTTTTCAGCCCTTCTTGGGTGGACCTCTTAGAATTGCTTCACTTAAGAAGGCCTACGTAAATTATCTTCTGGGTAGGCAGTCAGTCTTCTCGTTGCAATCAAGTCCTTTATGTCCTGGTACCCACCCTAATTAAATAGTATTTTTGGCTCCAAGAGCGTTAAGGACAATCATATGCTAGCTGGAAATTTATGTTGTGGGACTTCAGTACTAGTAGGCTTGCCCGACTGTCCGACATAATGCAGATATATTTCGAGGATGTGCCTCGTCTAAGGCATTATCGGCCACAAATTTCTATTGCATGAACTTTCGCTTTAAAGATGGTTGGGTTAGCCCAAATATGCCAGCGCCAGTTTCACGATTATCAAGTTTAGATCCATTTGTGTTTGGATGCATGGGTTCCCTGCATTCCAGCAATTAAGCATTTTGACAGAGAAGACTCGATTACGCCATCCACAATATTTTTGCGCAGAAACCCTTTCCGCCGTCGCCTGCTACGCTAACCACAGTATTTTGGAGCAGAAAACCTTTCCGCGTTGGCAGCCTTCAGCCGAGCTTTGAAAAAATAACCCGCATCAATCCAATTCCGGCTACGCTGACCACAGTAAACTAACCATCATCATTACAACTCCGACTATTCATTTTGATCACAGGTGTATCTCGGGGCGCACGACCGAAGATCCGACGTTTTGGAAATGGCAAATGAAGTGGCAACCTTTTCTTCGCGCTTCGTCGGATTGGAAAGAGAGTTGACTTGCAAAGAGTTTGCTAGCTCCGCTAGAAAGATTGCAGC